GTACAAAAGGAGTTAAGTACTAAAATGTATGTTAACTTTCAAATACACAAAAAACCCAGTGATTGTTTATCAGCAGTGGCAGTAGAAGATAGAATGAATGAATATTTTAATTGTATAAATTTTATTTTCTTAGCTTTTATATCCTGTAAATATATCAGATATTTCAAAAAAGTGAAAAAAAAAAAAACAGAAACCTTTTGTGGCATTTCAGATAGTTCTCTTAGACAGGGTGGGGGACGGTGGGAAGAGGTGTTTTCCAATACCTCTGCAACACTGTCTCCCATTAACATGCTTTTCTCCACTGTGCCAATGACTTGCCTTCTATGAGCAGGGTCTATGTCCATCCCCTTGAACATAGGTGGGTCAGTAAACATGGCATAAGTGATGCTAGGAGTTTTGCTATGAGAATTATGGGGGTAGTCATAGGAAGTGAGCCAGCTTCTACATGGTCCTTTTGGGATATGTGTTTATGGAGCCCAACTGCCATGGTGGGAAAAGAACTAAGTCATAGGAAAAGGCAACCCAGCCAACATCCCAGCTGAGATCGCCCAGCCACTGTCAACCACCAGCCACTCAGTTAGGAAACCTTTAAAGTGGCTCTGGCTACAGCCACCATCTAACTGCCACTGCATGAGAGATCCAGAAAGAGAACTGCTTTGTCGAACCCAGGAAATTCCCAGAAATATGAGAGATAATAAAAAGATTACTAAAAGATTAATAGATAATACTGTTATGTACTACTATGTTTAACTATACTATGCCTGATGATATAGACAATTCTATTGAAGATAACAAGAGACATCATAGTAACCATTGTAGGTCACCTTGAGGTGTGGTTTTATATGACTTTTTCATTTCATGTTTATCTAGGAATTTGTTTTTTTTTGTCTTTCTTTGCTTTGTTTTACCCTCTAATACAGAAAGGATAGATATACATATAGAAACTCATGCCTGTGTAAAACTTCTAAACAGTTTATGAGAACTGATTATATAATGCATGATGAAATAAACAACTACTTTGAAGAAAAAGAGACACTATGGTACCTACTGCTGATTCCATAGCATCATGATGTGAAATCCAGCAATACAATTATTCTTTGGTCAGACTGATTTTAGTCTGTTTTGTTTTGTTTAATTTCAACATATGTGAAGGCATGGGCAGCTATTTTGAAGAGAATGAGAGACACTATGACAGCCATTGTTGACTTCCTTATTGTCTGGTCTTGAAGACCTAATGCCTTCATCATCCTGTTCGGATCAGTTTTGTAATATGTTTTTTTGTATGAATTCATTGTATGTGAAGACAATTATTTGGAAGAAAACAAGAGACAATATGATAGATAGTGAAGATCTCCAGTTGTCTTGCTTTGAAATCTGTGTCTCGGGCTGGGGATTTAGCTCAGCGGCATAAGCACCTGCCTTGCAAGCAGGCAGTCATGAGTTCAATCCCTGGTACCGATAAAAATGAAAAAGACAAAAAAAAAAAAAGTTAAAAAAAGAAAAGAAATCTGTGTCTCTTACGTTACTTTCTTATGTTCTGTTTTGTTCTGTTTTGATGTGTTTAATTTTACCCTCTTTAAAAAAATAAAAATAAATTTAAAAAAGATTAATAGAGATTAATCAAATATTATTCAAAGATTAACATAAAGATCATTTTGTTTTAAGCTTCTAAAGTTTTAAGTAGTTCTTGGTTTCTGTCCCTGCTTCCCATTTGACTTTCTATGATGGCAGCTTTCTGACAAGATTATAACAATTACCCATGATTCCAAGAAGGTAGTAGAAACAGTCTGATGGGGAAAGTGTTTAGCTGGCCTTGAGAATGAAGGAACAGCCTAGAACAAATGGGACAGGCTCACTTTGGATGTCTCTGAAAGCCACAAGAGGAATCATGCAACAGGCTACCAGAAAAAGAGGAGATAGGAGGGAGAGAAGGATGTACAAAATATATACACAAAGATAACAGTAGCACCCATGTTTATAACAGCACAATTTGCAATGGTTAAATCTTAGAAACAACCCAAATGTCCACCAACTACAAAATGAATAAAAAAGATGTGATATTTTTATATAATGGACTACTGCTCAGCTATAAAGAAAGATAAACTCGAGGCTTTTATAGGTAAATGAATGCATATGGAGACCACACTCATAAGTGAAATAAATCAGACTCGCATGTGTAAACATTGTATTGTCTCCCTGGTGTAAAAAACTGAAAGATTAAATAGGTTCCAAAATGTACAATAGATATTGTACAACTGAAAGGGGAAGAAAATGAAAGAACACCTGGGATGAGGGAAAGGAGAAAGAAGGAAGGGAAAATACACACAAGATAACGATACTACTAATCTGTTAGTTTTTTAAAAAGAAAGATTTGTGCCTTCATTGTTTGATCATTTTTTCATGCCTATATCTTGTCATCTGAACAACTACTTTGAGGATAACAATACATAATGCATTAACCATTGTTAATCTTCTATTATGTTGTCCTGACATTCTGTATCACCATTTTTGTTCTTTTTCATTTAAAAAAAAAAAGTGTGGATGAAATCACCCAGGTGGAGGGACAGACAAGGAGGCCAAGAGCACAACATCTCCATTTTTCTCTGAAAATGCCAGCAGAGGGAAGGGAGCAGGAAAAGAAATCTACGAAGAATGGGCAGAGAGGAAAATCCAAGCATAGCTCAAGAGGTGGGCATGGTGAGAGCCTCTGCATGTTGCACAGAAAATATGGACTGAGAAGGCCTGCAAAGTTTGGTAATGTGGCGGTCACCAGTGACCACTGAAGAGCAGTCGTCCCAGAGAGGCAGAAAAAAAAATCAAAATTTCAATATATTTCCATTAATACAAATAAGTTCAATCAAACGTTAAAAGAGAATAGCACATTTTAAGTTAATTGTTCAATCATCTGAGCAAAAGGAAAAGAAATTAAGAAGAAATGAAAAGAAAAATCAGAATTTGCACGACAGAAGGAAAATGTAAGGGAGGCAAAGTTGACAAATTGAGTAACTCGTTCCATGACACAGGGGTGGCTGAAAAAGCACCAGGTGATTAAACCAGCTGCCTCTTCAAGTTCTCTTTGTTTTTTCTTCTGGTGAAACTGTGAAAGGTTCTTGTATTGACCATTCTTAGCATTGGTGGGGACAAATTAAAAAGATGCAGGCACAGGGTGAGTCCATAGGCTTCACAGAGGCTGGATTCACTGCACAGTCAAAGCAGAGCACGGTGAGGAGTGGGATACAGGCTCTATGATCATTCAGAGGAGTCTGCCCCACGTAGAGGGCAGGGGAACAGGGCGTGAAATGGGGATTTCATGGACTGCATCTCAGACTACAATTTAAAGGGAAATGGCTTCATTTCTCCAAAACATCAGGATCTTGAAGTCTTCCTATAAAAATTCTAAAATGCCCATAACTCACAGCATACCAACTGTAGCCACTAAACCCTACTGAATTTATTGCATGAACATTTTAAAATCATCTCTTGGAGTAAGACCTCCATTTGTGGTGGCAAGTATTTAAACAAACTTAATAAATATATGGAGACCCTTTCTGGAATTGATATCATGCTCCAAATTGCTGCTGTTACTCTTCCTTTATGCTTAGGGAGAAAAGAGAGGGAAAAAAAAAAAAACAAAACAGAACACGTGCAACTACAGATAAATTAAGTTGAAATGTCAACACAGTTGAGAAGAAATGTCTCAAGTGAGAAGATATTGTGATGTAGAGCTTACCAAGTCTTTAATTGGAGATGGAATGTTTTGATATAAAGGTGACGACTACGAAACGTTTATCACAGTAACTAAAGCCATAACTACTGAAATTCTCTGCCATCCTTTGGCCTCAGTGTCCATATAGTATATCCAGTATTAATATTAAAACATAGCACAAACATAAACCATCAGTTGATACAGAGGATGTTAAATGCTTTTCCCCCAATACATTTTTGTTTTAAAATGACCTTAGTGTACTAGAGAAATAACAGGAATAATCAAATCATGACAAAGGGGGTGATGTTGCCACAATCCAGATACTCAAAGTCTCTTTAAAAGTGTTGGATCTCAAACTACACAGCTGCAGAACACTAGTTTTTGGCCACTTCAGTAAAACACTGGCAGCCTATGGTAATACGTAAATTTTCTTTTCATAATTGGGGAAGGGGTTGTACTACTTATGCGGTCTTCAGTTTGGTGTAACCAGGTCTGTGACACAGCATGTAATTATGAATTTGGTTATCTTCCGTTTAGTACCCTGGATATCTATATTATTTAGGGAATAATGTTACAGTACACACTGCCAGGGATGTGCCCTGTGTCTCAGGCTTTGCCATCTTAGGGCAAACCAGCTGGCTGCACCTGTGTCTCTCTGCCCTGAAGCTTTAGCTGGTTACTGGAACTTCCAGAGGACCCAAGGACTAATTCTTCCTAAGTAACCATATTCAACCAATGAGTAGACAGGAAGAGTGTATACATACACGGTCTCCAACCATTGAAAGAGGACAAATCTGGGGCAGGTGTTTCGAAGACCTCTACGTTGGTAACAAGCTTAAGAGTACACTCATTTGGCTCATTCACCTATTTCTTGCTGATGCTTCCTGAGATTCCCTCCTACTTAAATTCAAATCCATGTCTAAAGATGTGTTAGGACATCCCATTGTCTGGCCAAATGAATGAGCTTATTAGGCACTTGGCTTTGGCCAGCGTTAGGCTAGTAAATGGGCACAGGAAGAACTGGCAGTAAGAATGCAGTGTCCTGCCTCTGAGGTGCTAGAACACCAAAGCCTGAAGGCCAAGAAAACAGAAGGATGCAGGGTGGAAACTTCATCAGTGAGGAACCCAAAGGTCGCAATCCTCTCCCGCTTTTCCCGCAACTCTGATACCAGGCAGGCCAGTTTCTTCTTTAATTTAAAACCCTGAGAATCAGTCTATAGCACCAGGGTAAGCAGCCAGGGAACCCAGCATATGACCCTGGACTACAGAGATGGAGGCAAGGAGCCAAGCCTACCTTAGAAACTGTTGATTGAAAGATTGAATTCAGGATAAGGCCACAAATACGGTGCCCTGAAAATAGCAAATAGCAGAACAATCGTTATTCAACTTGGCTCATGTTAAGACTTAAAACAAAAACACGGGAATAATAAAGCAATATAGAAAGTTTGAAATAGTTTTTTAAAAGTATCCATATTTCGCACTGTTCATATGCGACTCTTGTCTCTTTGGAGGGCTCCCTTGCAGATGGTTTCCTGAGTGCATTTTTAATGCAATGGCGTCCTGCTCATGTGCATGTAAAGTTTTCCTGTGTTACTAACCTTCACGTTTTTTAAGCACTGTATAATATTTCATCAATCTGGTATCCCTGTATTTTCAGTATCTTCCTATACTGTGTATTCAGGTCACGTCTAAGCTTCCATTGTTATAAGTAATGTTGCAGACAGTAACTTTATACAATGGCTTTTTCTACTTTTCAGGCTATTTTCCTAAACTAGAATTCCAGAAGCCAAGAGGTAGTAGAATTTCAGTGACACCTGAAACAGGCAGCCCCTCTACTTTTATCATCTATGTTCTTTGATAACTGACAAAATATAAAGTGGGCAAAAGACACTGTCATCCTTTCTCTCACAAAGAAATACAAGAACGGCCCATGGCATCATAAACGTTTCATAGAAGAAGGACAGGTGGGGAATTAAAAGCAAAAAGCAGGCTTTGATACTAAGGAGAGGGCCTGAGCAGTAAACACCTATTTCTGATCTTTAAAATGCACATTTCAAAGTCAATAATAATTTCCAGTTGAACTCCTACATAAAAATTCATGTGACAGCACACTGTCCTTATGATCACCTCCCAGGACAAACTTCCAGCTTTCTGAAGCCTCCTTTCCCCAGCCTGGCGTGATTCTCTTACTGACACCAACACCAAATCTGCCCCGTCTGCCACTCAGAGTCCAACTTCTGCTTAGTGTGCACATGGATTTTTATCATTCCCCACCCCCTACCCCAAGCAAACACTTGGCTACTGGCAGAGCTGCTGGGGCTAGGAAATCAGGCTGAAGGAACCCTGCATCGCTCCACATTCTGCCATCCTCAGAACAATGTGACACAAGGGAAGGACCAAAGTCAAGATCATAAGCCCTGCAGGCTCTCTCTTCTGCAAGGAAGTTCCACCTCCTGTGTGGCCGTGGTCCTGCTCTGACACCACATTCTCACATAGGAAGCAAGGGAGGGGACGATGGAGGCAGAAAACAGAAAGATTAGCTCTAATTTAAAACCAACTTACGAGCTCTAAAAGAGTTCCAGGTTGACTGAGGGACACATTTACTCCTTGGAACTTTTTGTGTAAGTATCTACCACTTAACATGCACTTTCAAGAGGCAAAAATATTGTTCCTGTGGGTCAGCCTTTATGGAAGAGAGATTTCCAGAGATGCTTCTTTCCTACATGGCTACAACCACACCATCAAGATCCTATTAAGGCTGTACTGAGTATGGTCTTGCTCACTGGGCTACCAGCCGAGGTCATAACTGCCCCTACAGAAGAATGCGGAGGCCTCCTCCACCTGTGTACAGAGATACAAGTCACACTCTTTCCTTTGGTCCTGGGAAGATGAAAAGTTCATATTCCCTAATATGCTCTGCATCTGACACTGTTGAGGATAGAAGGTGTATTTTGTTGATAGCTCCAGGCAAATAAATAAAGTAACCGGAATAATAACCAGGGATAGTGAAAAATATTTCCCAGATCATGTACCACTGCCTGTCTATTCTCAGTGGAACTGAATGATCTTGAAGGCAGGCATAGAATCCTCCAGAGGATGGCTGGTTCCTCATGAGGAACTGTTCTGTGAGGGCTAGGCCCTGCCTGGGAAGACTCACCACCAGCTCACCTGCCACAGCTGCATGCAAACGGGTGAGTCTGCCCTTGGGGACAACAGTGGTTGGCTTTGTCCTGCTCTCCTATGCTGGACCTTCAGTCTCGTGCTAGGGTATCAAAGAGATACAGGTAGACTCTGTCCCTTGGAAAGCTGAGGGTTCCACCACTCAGCCCACTAGATTCACCTTCAGGCAAACCTGCCTGTGAGTGCCACCCAGTATGAGATGATGACACTGATGAGTGGAGTATCCAGTGGCACAGTATCCACGGAGACACTCTGTGTAGTCTAAAGGGACAAGTGAATTGCAGAATTAGAACCATTCTCCTGTTTGGAAGCTGAAGCATAATCATTTTCACAGGACACCTTCTCAGTAAGATTACCCGAGTAGCATAAAACAATGTTTACCAGAATTTATGAATAAACACCACACAAAACCTTTAAAGGTATAAAAATAAATGAATATAAAACTCCTATCAACATCTATTGATCCACTATATATATATAGATACATATTGGTTCTATTTGCCTCATTTTTACACATTCTCATACACAAAGGTTGCTCTGTGGGGACAACTCAGTATATGATTAGTTGCTGTATGATTAGGAGCTTAATTCTGCCTTTCTTAAGCCTGTCTCACAATGTGTGTCAGCTTCGGGAGGATCAGGGCTGTGCCACTTTGATTCCCATTTGAATTCTCAGAGTACTTCCTGAATTATCTGCAGAAGTAAGGAGGGTGAAAGGAAGGAAAAAGAGGGAGAGAGGATGGAGTGCCAGGTACAGTTCTGGGTTCCAGGAACACTTGGTGCCCACCTGTGGAATACCTGTGGTCCTCAGAGAAGGTGTGCAGAGCTGGTGGAGAAGGGCAAGCAGCGGAGGTTCCTGGCACCATAGGAAGGCCATGGTGGGGAGGAAGAGGGCTTGGGAAGTCTTTCACACAAGGCAGGTGTTCAGCAGTTACCCAGGCTTGTAGCTTTAGGGGTGTCTGTGCCAGACACAGACAGTAAGTGCATTGATATGCAAACAGGGCCTTCACTGGGTAAGAGGAGGCTAGGTGCAAAGACAGCACTGCTGTCTGGACAGAAAGGCAGCTCAGACTTCCAGAAGACTCACTTTTCAAGCAAAACACTTTGACTCAAAAACCCATTGTCTTAGAGAACTTTAGATTTCCTCAGGGCTAATTTTCCAGGTTCACACTAGCAACCTAATACTTTGCTACACCTACTCCCTAAACAGGCACCCAGGCCTTGCGTATGAGAGACAATGAGGTTTCCAGGTCTCCACTGTGGCTTGTTAAGCATCATTACGCAGAACTTCATGAGCAAGAGCTGCTGTCCTGATGCCTTCCCACTCCCAAGAGACCTGTCCATCTATAGTAGGAAAATATGATAAATGAGCCAAGAAAGACACTGGTCAGTGCAAGCCACTTTATTTAAGAGCTTCAATAGCTAAAAGTGGTTTAACATAGATGCATGGAAGATTTAGCTAGATGATAAAATACCTGGGCTTGAAAGGCACATAAATTATAATTTGGAAGGTTTTTTCCTTTTAAGATCTTACGTAGGCAAGTACTTCAAGTAATGCGTGAAATGTGTATGAAGTTGACCACACTTCACACCAGCTCTCGGATTAGTGTCTGCAGAGCTCCTCAGATGAGACTGGGATCAGAATCGATGCCACCCATTTATGCCTGTGGCCTTAATGTCTGCCCAACAGTGGTGAGCACTGGGAAGATTAATAAATATATTACCACTCACTGAGCATTTTTCATATTGTTAGCTGTGTGCTGAGGTCAGTGCTTCATATACTTACATTGGTTAATGGCCCAAACAGCCTTATTCAGTGGATATAAGTCCCATTTTACAGATGCAAAACTTCGTTTGGAGAGCTTCTGTGATGTGTGGGAGGTGACAGGCAATTTGATCTGATTACCACCATGCTGCAATGTATGTGAAAATGTTTGGCTCTCAGCCAGTGTTTAAAAATGTTAGTTGTCTCTGTCTTTATACTTTTTTTAAAATTTACATATACACTATAGAAAGTTTATATTTGGTTTATTTTCATTTATCCATTCATTCTATTGTTCATGTATTTTATGCATAGTATTGCTGGGTGTAAAGGTTATAAAACTGGGCTTCACAGCTCCTACCCCATTGAAAGGTCTCAGTACCTGGTATAGCCATACACATACACAGGGGAGAGGCACACCCCTGTGGAAGACCTGTACACTGCCATAGGTTAAAGATACAGCCTGAAAGAGACAATTTTAGACTTCTTTCAACCTTGGTTCCTGCTTCCTCTAACATTCGCTATTTTCTGACCCGGATGTTCACAGACACTCGGACCCCTAGGCCTTTTGATAGTGTGGTTGCCCAGAAGCCCTTTATCATGCAGAACAGCCTTCTCATCCGGAGGCTGAGGCTTTCTAGCAAAACTACATCAACTGATAATCCAACTCCCCCACTAATCACCCTACACAGTTCTTCAGATCCCCACCTGGCACAATCCTCACAACTCAGAAGCCGAGAGACCAGGCTTCCCTTCTCTCTGTGGCTGGACACTGTCCTGGAGAGGAGAAACCAGCTGCATCAAGGCTCCCTCTCCTTTGACCCTCCAACACCCTCTGCTAAAATTCATCCAGAGGTTCCTGACCACTGTCCACAAATGGCACCAGACTACTCCCTCACCTATGTCCCCCACTCTGGCCCTCCCAGGTTATTGCACAGAGCAAAGGCAGTGTCTACACCAGCACTGTGAACACAGCCACACATCAGGATCATTCAAGTCCATAAAATACGCCAGTGAGTGACAGGCGTTTCTGCAGCCCCCAATGCTCTCCCAAATCCATGGAGAGTTTAAGGGGCCTCAAAAGCAGAAAGAAGACTTGCTGCTTCTGGAGAGCCTTCTGGCTAGTTTGAGCACATGATCCCAGAGTGCAGGGGAACCCTGTCGGACAGGAAGGCACTGATGCAGTGTGAGCCTGATGTTCTAGGGGGCTCCTGGAGTTGGCAGGATACCGTGCCCACCCAAGCCAGAGGGTCACCCCCTTGCTCTGCTTGCATCTGGTTGCACCTGGCTTTATTGGTCCTGACCCACCACATGTGGCTCCAGGAGGCCAGCTTCTGAGTTCTCTGAATTCTAGGAAGAAGGGAAAGTGGTCACCATTTAAACATTTCCTGAATGAATGACTAACAAACAAGCTGTTTGAGATTCTTATTTGACACATGAGAAAAGGCTCAGGAGAGGGCAAAGGAGTACTCAGAGGCAGCACACTGAGGCCAGCCCTAAGAAACGGGATCTCCTTGCACAGTGTTTTGCTTCCTTACAGCTCCCTGGAGCAGTGCTGTCTTCCACACTGCTGTCCCGCTGGGTAGGTACAGTCCCACATCCAAAAGAGGACGTCAAGGGCAGGGCACTAGCTCTCAAAGCAGGGCCTATGGACCTTCCTTCCACATACAGTATTTGCTGAATAGTTATTTTTAACTGTGGCGTGCAGGCTGCTGGAGGTGGGATCCGAAGCCAAGTCTAACATAGGGCCAAAGGGTTAGGTGACACCAGCCTCAGCTACAATGGGTGGCCCGTGGGGATGAGGCGGGGCTGTTCTGCCACGCAGCAGCTCAGCCGCCACCTGTCGACCAAGAGCCCGCGCCCGGGTCTCCAGCTGGGAGCGAGTCACATGGGCCCCAGCGTCTAGCCCAGATCAGGATCCTCGCAGACGCCAACGCGGGCAAAACAGGAAGGTCAGAGCTCCTGGCGGCGCTTACCTGAGCCTCACGGGGCTCTGCGGCAGCACCGGGTGAATCTCGGGGGATGGCAAGGCCGAAGCAGGGTTGTTGCCTGCTCTCAAAGATCAAATAGACACCGTGTCAGGTCTGGACGCTGGGTCGCTTCCAGGTCAGAGGACTGCGGAGTAGGGTGACCGCTCCTGCCCCGCGCTGGGGGTGGGGTCTAAGGCGAATTTGACCTTGTGCTCCCCGCTAGGGGCGGAGTCTCAGGCAAACAGCTCTGCGCCCGACCCCTTGCTGTGGTTGGTCCTAAAACAGGTCTGCCCCGCCCCTTACCAAGCCCCGCCCAGCGGGCCACCCCATCCGCTCCTTTGAGTCCCTAGACAAAACATTTTCACGTAGTGTGCGCGTCTGATCTTTGTTTTCCTGTTTTGTATTTCGTTTGTTTCATTTAAAAATTTTTTAACCTTCTTTAAGATTTAATTAAAACATCAAGTAATGCATGAACACTTTTTACAAAACAAATTTATCGCTTATAATGAAAGCAACAGGCTTTTCTCCCTTGCTCCCACTCACCCGCCTTTATCAGTTCCTTTGTTTAATTCTTCTGGTGGTCACCTCGCGTCGCTAAAAAATAAGCTTACATAGCGATTTCTTGATTTATCTATTGACTTTCTGCCATGTTAGATGAGGATTTACTCTTTTACTGCGCCCCTGCTTCCTTCTGCTGACAAATTTATGCCTCTGTTCTCAAGCCCTGCTCTGGCGAGGCTGAGACCTCAAACCAGGAGTGCGTGAAGGTTTTTGGGGACCTATGCTTCTACAATTGTGGGGGTTGGGAAAGAGGAGAGTGTTTCTGAAAGAGAATACAGAATTAGGGGCCAGAGGGTGACATTTATTTAGAATGAGAAAAGAAGCCTCAAAGAAATCCTAGGGTTTTAAAGATTTCTGTGTTTATCCCCCAGGTCCTCTTAGGTAATTCAGGTCCCCAGTTGCCTCTCTCTAAAGCAATCATAACTCCTAGCATTCCCTGGGGCCTTGCAATGCAGACAGGTCGTGAGGGGCAAGATTCACTAGTTCTTGCCTGTTGGATTTCCTGATGAAATGACTTTGAGTGTGTAAAAAAAGACATCAAGGATGATGTCAATGTCTTGCGGCTGCTGTACATTTAATTTCCATCTATTCCGGTCACAGTGACAAGTCCTCCCCTGAGTATGGCGACCACTCTATAAAGCTGGCTCTGGGCCTTCTCTCTATCAGCTGAATCCTCACAGTGCTCCTATGAGGTTGTTGGGGCAAGCACAATGTCCCTAAACTTAGGGTGCCCCATATACCCTGTATACCACAGGGTCACACAGCTGGTACCTAGTAATTCCCCAGGTGAGGGTTACTTCCCCAGTCAGACTGAAGACAAAGTACACTCTATCTCCTTTCTCTCCTTCCAAGGGTGAAAAATGTGTCTCCACAGAAGACCTGAGATATGTCATTTTTCCTTTCCCTGTAACAAGGTAACAATCTCCCACACTGAGTTTGAGGAAGGATTAAGAAGCTTAATATCTAAAGGTAAAGAAAGAAGTAATTATCTTCGGATATTCTTTTATTGTTGCTAACTCAGTCTGTGCCTGTGTGTTGTGGAAGGTTCATGAGAAAGATGAGGAATTTCTAAGGCACTGTGTGTGGCATGTGTCACCCTGGTTGTTTACAACTCTTGGGTTACCATCAAAGGTCAAGTCATTCTGATTCAGAGTCATGTAAGGGAAGCTTTCTTCCCAGGACAGTAAGACTGTCTAGCCTTAGTAAAGATTTAGGATCTCTTTCTGACTTCCTGGATGAGAAACAGTGTGGGAGGGAAGGGCCTCACATAACAGCCAAGCTTTATCTAACCTATGTATGGAAAGTAAACAATGGCTGAGAAACCACGCTCCTAATTTTAGAAGTAGAAGCATCTAGATGCAGGTCATATCCTTTGCTTTGAGCACAGATGGCTAATGGCGGATAGGTATAATGGAGCCAGTACTTTTGGACCTTTACCTTATTGTTAACTTTACTATCTCCTCGAAGGAAAGTGACTGGGTAATGTCACCTCAGGGAACAAGAGGATTTTACATAGGAGATTTGTCTGTGTGAGTCCCTCAGAAGCAGATCCCAGATAAATGGTTGAGTGTTATGGGAGGCACAGGGAACACCAACAGAGAAATGAAGATGTTGGGTAACCTTGTGAAGGAAACATTGGAAAGCCAGCAACTGTAACAGGTGATGAGCTGAATCTTGGGGGAATACGCCAGAAAGCAGTGTAAATAACATGCTTTGCAACTATCATGTACTGGAATATGTTTAGGAAGAAGATCTTCAAGTGCAAAATAACAGAAACTGAGAGATTAGTTCATGTTTCTAAAGACCTAAGAAATTATTTCTAGGGATAAAATTGTGGTTATCAAAAGTAGGTCAACTATAATATAACACTACCTGCAGCCTTCCTCTTGTACTTCATTCTGATGAAATGGGACATTTTGGGCAGCTATAAAGATATACAGAGCTGTTAGTAATGATCTTAAGCAGTGTTTTGAGAACATTCTAGAAAATAGGCTCTCAAAGGGGCTGTGATAGATTATGGACCTGGTCAGGCTCTGTGTTTAGATGACACAATTTTAACTTCATTTCTGGACTATTGGAAAGAGCCAACTTTGGCTAGATATGGTCACTAGGATGGAGTTTCAACTTGGTTGTCTTTAAGATCCATCCTGGGAATTGGTGGATCACACTTAAAGTGTGCCTTGGGTGGAGGTCACAAAGGCTTGGCCTTGGGATTTATGTCTGGTCCTTCATCCTTTCCTCTTTGGCCTCGCTCCCCTGTGCTGCTTCCCAGTCACCATAAACTAAACTCCAACACAACCTCTGTCATGTTACCTTTGCCTTGGAGTCAATGGACCATGGGCTGAAACTGGGAGCAAAGTAAACTGTGCCCCTTTTAATTATGGGAGTTGGGTATTATGCCTCAGTAATGGGAAACCTCGCTGACACATTGGGTACCTGTGAAAATGGAGACTGATAAACTTTTTAAATGACTAAACTGTAAACTTTCAAATCACTACAAATACTTCACAAGATGGGTACTTTCTTACAACTAATGCATGAAAAATGCTACTGCCAAGTCTTTCTTTTACATCATGCAAGCAATACTGCCCTAGAAAGCTTCCATTAGACATACTAACCACTGGACTAAAGCAATCTCTTAAGAACACAAATCAGTTCACAACACTCCACTGCTCAAAGACCCCCATGGGTTCCCCCAGAAGTAGGGTAAACGTCTCAAAATTTCTCCATGGTCTTCAAGGCCCTCATGAGTCCTGCCCTGCTAAGGCTTGTGGGCATTTTCCACCATTCAGCTCTACTTTCCTTGGCTTTACTAGCATTTTTTCGCACACATTGGGCCTCTTTCACACCTGACCTAGTGCATTACTGTTGTCATTGACATTAGTACTTCCACAACCCTTAAGGTAACTTGCCCAGTTCACTAATTTTCTAATAGTCTGCCTGCCAAATCTACACACACACACACACACACACACACACACACACACACACGAAACTCTCATGTGCTACCCTTTTTGTAGCATTTATTATTTGTAGATTTTGTTGTTTGTTTCTTTCACTGAAATATAAGATCCAAAAGAGGTTGAACCTACACGTCTTGTTTTCTGACGTATCTACACCTAGAACAGTTCCTGATAGTTATTCAAAAATATATGTTGAATGAATATAAGAATAATTGAATACATTGAATTGCATGATTAAAAATATCAGTAAATAGACAAGAGAAAAGTATTCTAGAAGAAGACTTTCCAAGAAATCTGGAGTGGATTTCTCTTGTCTTGGAAAGAGTTTTTGGAATACAGGAAAGGTAAGATGAAGTAGCTGAGCTGCATTACACAATCTGATTCATAATTACAGGGTGAGTATTTGAGAAATTTTGCTGGTTTATATTTGATCCAGTGTCTGTGTTAAATATTTAAGTAAAAATTAACTTAAAGGGCTACATTCTCAGTTAAAAGTAAACAGAAGAAAGTTTTATCTTGTCATTTTAAGAATTCTAAACGGTGTTCAATGAGTTTTGTTTGGTGTTGGAGAGCCCAGATGGTAACTAGTTACCTAAAAATAGAAGTCTTAATCAAATATTTAAGATCTTACTTATTTTTATTTTCTGCCTATTTTGCACTCCTGCTTTTTCTTGCCCATTCCACAGCCACACAATTTACACACTAAAGTTAACAGAAATGCCTTATGGATTATTAGACACAGCTAAACAATGTTTTTTGTTTTTTAGAGCATAAGGCCAAACTGGGGTCACTTTGCTGTCCTAACAAAATAAGTTTTCTTGAAGGTATGACTATGAGTTCACAGAGGCTGTTCCCCTTTCGCTGAAGTTTCTTAAGGCAGATGTGTGTTTGTTGCAAAAGACGCTTTCAAGGGGGGAAAAAACAAATGCTCCCTAAAAATATGTTTTACAGTGGTTCAATTAAGAAGTGTTACAGTCAAGAATAGTTGAAACAATAGGATTATAAGTGGGCCTTTGAAATCATGGCAGGAAGATACTGAATAGTGCCTGTTTGCTAATATAAACATTGCACTCTGGTGCCATCAGTAGTGAATGGGCTTTGGTCAGTATCTATGTGGGCTTGGTTGTCTTGGGAATGCCTCAACAGCTTCCAGTGCATAAGTCATCTTGCCCTAATGGAGCTTTTATGTTTTGCACCTACTGCCAAAACCTAAATCTAGGCTTTGATGTCCATTTAGGGTTACTCAGTAGAAAGATCATTTTTAAAAATCATTTCTTAAGTGAGCAAAGTCAAAACACATTGCTCAGAATAGGGAATACTTTAGGGGTAGCCTATCATTTTGTAATGAAAAATCAAATTCACAAGGAAGTGAGATGGTCTCAGGATCACACACATCTGGGCAGTGATAGCATCAGTCAGCCTGTGCTTCTCTTTCAGTAATAGCAGTAGTCTGCTCACTGAGTAGAAAGCACCTAAATGTAGGCTTGGGCCTGCAGAACTTACAGGAGGATTGGCAATCTGGGTTTAGAAAGTGGCAGGAGAAAGGCGGCTCTGAAAAGTGAGAAAGTGAAAACTTTAGGAAGGAGCTCTTACAGGAGATGGTTTAGGCAGGATTTTTCTACAGGGATAAGGGATTAAAGTCCAGACACTTCCGTGCTGTCTCCCTCATAAGTGAAAGTGCAATGTGAGTCCTTCTGATGGGACACAATTCTACATGCTTTTGACTGTCCTGGTTAAGGGTTACAAATTTAGTGACCTCATCACTATAGCTGAATATCAGGAACATGTAGCCTCATACAATCTGATAATACAAATTGGTCCTAGAATTGTGTGAGGTTTTTTTTGGGGGGGGGGGCAGGGCCTTTATCCCTTTGAATTTGGATTTGAAGAGAATACACCTGAATTTATCTTGCTGAGACTCTCAGAGTGGAGAAAGTCATTCCCCGAAAGGAACTCCCAAAAGATGCTTAGGAGAGAAGTGGAGCTGCAGAGAAGCAGGTGTGTGGTGAGATCCTAATTAGTGCAGAGTGGTAGATTCCTATGAAACCAGAGATAACCTGCAGAAGGGAACCAGAGCCTACAAGGGATTTCTAGAAGGTTTAATTCTTTAATTACAGGAGCTTCCTATCCAGCTCCAGCTCCTCCTTTTTTTTTTTTTTTTTTTTTTTTTTTTTTTTTTTTTTTTTTTGAGCTGGAGTATCACTATGAGCCGGGAGGTAAAGCAGCCGTCTTGAGAGGATATGTATGAGAGGATAAGCATGCGATCCCATGGCATCTGCTGAGAATGGGTGAGCAGTACACAGATGGAACTGATGTGCTAAATGCATTATGGAACAGCTGTACCAACTCTGAACTACCTGCCTCCAGACTTCTTATTTTATTAGAAAATTAAAAATGTATTGACCAAATCACTGTAGTTGAATATTAGGAACATGTATCCTTGCACGGTATGCTAATACAAATTGGTCCTAGAATTGTGTGGGGGTTTTGTGGGGGCAGGGCCTTTACACTGAGCTATGTCCTCAGTGCTTTTTTGTTTTCATTTTGAGGTAGGTAGGTTTCACGTAAATTTTCTGGCTGACCTCAAACTTGCAATCCTTCTGATTCAGCCTCCCAGATGGGTGAGATTATAGACATGTACCACCATGTCTGGTGAGTTCTGGTCTTTTGATTTTTTTATGTAGCATCATAATGTTCTCCTTACAAAGTGATTATTCCAGGACTATGGTCAAAGTGAGGTTGTATTATGAAGGGTTCTCCAGAGGAACAGAACCAGTGAAGATATATAGAGATACACAGAAGCAATCTATTATGGGAATTGGCTCACATGATTATGGAAGCTGTGAAGTCTCACAGTCTGTCTTCTGCTTGCCAGAGAGACAGGAAACTCGTGGTGCAATTTAGTATAAATCTGAAGGCTGGGAAGGGGAGTGGGGATGGGAAGGAAGTAGAATGCTAGAGAAAGTTCCAAAGAATCCAAAAGCAGGAAAATAGGAAGTTCTGGCC